TGTCAAGTTTAAAGAAAATGCAACTATACTATAAGCTCTAATTAGTAGTGTTAATTAATTAATTAATTAATAGAACTTATCATTACTATACACATGGTATTAATTAGTAGTGTTAATTAATTAATTAATTAATAATACTTATCATTACTAAATGCATGGTATTAATTAGTAGCTATGTCTATATTATGCCTGTAGAAAACAATTATATAATATCTACTCCTTTTTTTTGTTATTTTAAAGTCTTTGTCAGTGTTTTAATATGGCGACTACCTCAAAATTATTTGTAGTCTGTTTAGTCTTCAGAGATGTATAACTTGCGATATTATAAATATTTGATATCTTTTCAAATTAACAAATATATGAAATTATTAACTGTCCAATATTTCTCTCAGGAAACCAAAAATAAATGCAGATTTAAGAAAGCAAATAAAACATCAAAATTTGAAAGTTTTAAATTAAAATTTTGGATTACTTGATTTGCTAAAAATCGGTAGTTAACTCCAGTATTTTGTTCTTTTCATGTACAATAAAATTTATTCGTTTACTGGTAAATCAAGATTCGATAATTTTTGATCATCCAGTTAGTTTATATAACAGGGGTAGGTAACTCCAGAATTTGTTCCGTTCATGAACAAAAATATTTTACGTTTACTGGTAAATAAAGATGAAATTTTTTATTTGATCATCCAGTGAGTTTACATAAGGACTAATTTACTGGTAAACAAAAGATAAGATTGTTTTGATCATCCAGTGAAATTATATAAAGACTATTCAGACTACATTTAGTTTACTTTAAACTATTCAGGGAGAGCACTTGACATTATATAAAAAGACTGAGTTTTTTTTCTCTTATAATCTTGTATGGTTTTTATAATACTACTATTAACTAGATCAGGGAAAAAAGAACTACTCTTGTATTATTTACTGTTAAATGTTAATATATCATCTTCTAGAACCAATATTCACTTTTCTTGTTTTTGTGTGTGTGAGGGGGGGGGATCACAGTGGCTAAGTGGGTAAGACACAGTCTTGCTAGCTTGGAGGTCACGTGTTCGATCCCTGTATTGGCCGAGAAAGTTCATCCAGATTTATCCAGCGTGGTTCCCCCTTGTCAGTGATGCAGGACAGTGGGCCTGAAAAGGAAAGGTGTCTAGTCATTCGGATGACATGTTAAAGATCTCTTGGTGGTTGGAATTCGATATAAAAGAAGGCCATAGTAAAATGGGGAATAATGTTCTATATCATCTTCTAGAACCAATATTCTCTTTTTCTTGTTTTTTGTGGGAGGGGGGGGGAGATTCCATGCATGGGAGGAGAAACCAGGTCCCGTGTATACATTGGCGTGTATGTAAAAAAGATCCTTTGGCAGTTGGAATTCGATATAAGAGCAGACAGCATAGTGAAATGAGGAATAATATTCAATATCATCTTCTAGAACTAATATTCACTTTTTGTTGTTTTTGTGAAGGGGGAGGGGTATCACGGTGGCTAAGTGGGTAAGAAGCTGGCTCGCTAGCTTGAAGGTCATGTCTTTGATCCCTGCATTGACCGAGAAAGTTCATCCAGATTTTCCGGGGTGGTTCCTTGTCAGTGATTCAGGACGGAGGGAGTGACAAGGACAGCTGTCTAATTGTTCGGATGAGATGAAATACCAAGGTCCTGTGTACACATTGGCGTGCATGTAAAAGATCCCTTGGCAGTTGGAATTCGATATAAGAGTAGGCCGTAGTGCCGCTGCCTGGCCAAAATTTCCCTCATAGCACACTGTATGGCGTATGCCCATCTTCATTAGCCCAGTCGAAGCAGAACAGTAGGATGTTAAACCCCATTTCATTTCATTTTGTGGGGGGTTGGGTGCCAACCCATATTTTTTAACACTTAAGATGAACTGAAATGAAATGGGGAATAATGTCTTATCTTCTAGAACCAATATTGTCTTCTCTTGGTTTTGTAGGGGGTTTGGGTGGTGTGGTTTAAACTGACCGGTTGAACGTGACAAGGAGTTGGGTCACAAGTCCAACCTTGTGGGGTTTCTCTGGGTCCTCCGGATTCCTCCCACTTCTAAAGACCCCTATGCGCAAGCAAATTATTGAAATAAAATTGAACCATATGTTAGTCCCGAAATGACCTGTTTGTTTCGAGTAGGTAGTAAGCCTCATTTCTCTCTCGTTTTTGTTCATAGAAGGCTAACGTAGAAATACCGGTACTAGAATTGGGACCGGTCCAAGGCTGATCTTCAACCCATACATTTGGCAGACCACCATTAATTTCACTATTGACTTCACTGTTAATTCTGGCCTCTTTGTCCGGCTCCAACTTTTCCCTAAATTTTCTTTGGGATGAATGCTTTTCACTACAGACAGGAACAAATGGTCATGTCTTTGCACTAAAATTTGTATGAGGTTTACCACCAAATTTAGAGATACACAAACTTGAAGAAGCATAATAAAACACGTAACTATTTGCCGTACCTATCACCGTAGCCAACCTGATAACCCTGTTATCCTTCCGCCTCAAAATCATGATTATTTACCAAACCCTGCCAGAAAATGTTAATTTAAACCCACTTCGTCCATTCTAGACAAAAAAGGCATGCAAACGGGGAGAAGAGAGACAGAGAGAGAATTGCGAGATGGTGAAATTTAATGGTGGTCTGCCTCCATGTTAATTTATGTTACAAATTGGAGTTGCCTCCCTTTACCAGGAGCCGTCTCATTTAGTATGAATATAACACAAGAGAAATTCACCGAGAAATCTGAAGCGAAGGCTATTGCTTTTTTTCCTTTGAGGTCAAAACAGTCAGCGCCAACTATAAACCTTGCTAAAACCTTTCGATTAATAAATCACTTTTTAATCCGATTACGATTAATCTCTCTTTAAGCCGATTAAATCACGCCTGCAGGGAGATTATCTGTTGATAGTTTGATTTTATTGTCTTTATAATATGTCATGGGGGGGGGGGGGGATAAACGCATGCGCATTAGATCACAAGGTCTGGCATTAAGTCAAGTGGTGTGGTTTTGATTCCCGGGTTGACGCGTGATAAGGAGTCGGGTCGTCAGTCCAACCATACGCGCAAGCGAATTATTGAAATGAAACTAAACCATATGTTAGTCCTGAAATGACCTACTTTTGTGTCGAGTTAACGTTAAACCCGGTTAAACCCCAGTTTTCTCTCTTTATAATATGCCAAATCATGAATTTGAGTAGATTAAAGCGAGGATTAAAGTAGCTATAAGTCTCTAACTCAATATCATCCAAAATCTTCAAAATTCAAACCACGAATTACTTGCCATTTTAAATCAATATTGATGTTGTGATCTTACCGGGAAAAAATGGGCTTCTGATATCCAATATTTAAGACAAAATAAATATTTTACCATTGGTACACGAATCGTATACCATAATGCGTTTCAACGTCATTTATAACAAGGGACTAAAAAAATGAGGCTGAGCTTATTTAACAAGTCATGTGAAACGGTGACGCCATATTCTTATCTGGGGAGCATGCGCAATAAATACTATCGGTGTAGACTGGAATAATTTCAGTCAAATTATTTTATTCTGAGAGACATTTCGAATTTAAAACACACACCCTCTTCAACCATTAGTTCGTTTTATACAATGTTAAGGCATAGAAATAGATAACGTCTGTATATATTTCTATGGTTAAAGGTTCTATTTTATTAGAATCTCTCCAGAGCGGCGGAGCGGGTGTCCAGGGGGTCCTACTACCCCACTACCCCCTGCCCTATATTCATCGAAATAATTCCAAAAAACTAACCGTGCGAAGCATTGCTGTCGTTATGATCTTCCTGCAATCTAATAATGATCAGGCCCCAAGTTCACAAAACATTCCCAAGTTCACAAAACATTCTTAAAGATACATTATGGGAGATTAGGTAAAGAGTTGGCAGTAAGTTCTCACTGTAATAGTTAAAAACTAGATAATGTTAAGGGAATTTGCTAAAAGTTTAAGTCATATTATTAATCCACTCTGAACCGAGATTTTAGCGATTGAATTTTCGGCTTAGTCTCGATCATCATTACTAAAGTCGTACGATAAAAAATATAGTCTCGATTATCCATTTCATGATTAAATAAGAATGAAAGTTGAGCAGCAAATCGGATCCTAATCCAGTATATATTGCAGACTAGCGATGACATCGAGGGTTGATTATGGTCTGGATAAGTTAATGAATGTCTAATTAATAATTTAGAAAACATTTCAGACCTAAAGAAAGACTTGCCATAGGCAGGTTAAGCTCTTGCATAATGCACGTTCAAGTTAAAATTTTACTCAAAATTGATTGCCTTATTTTAACTAAGATATAGCCCTCTATAAAACGCTAGCCTGGGGGTCGGGTGTTCGATCCCCGCTGCGCGGGCAAAATTTCCCTCATAGCACACTGTATGGCGTATGCCCGTCTTCATTAGCCCAGTTTAGGAGCAGAACAGTAGGACGTTAAACCCCATTTCATTCGTGTTTCTGAATCAAAGATATTTCTTATAAAACAGTGATTGAAAGTTGAGTAAATTCTTAACTTAAGTCTGAGAATGTTTTGTGAACTCGGGGGCCAGAAATATTGTCTCAAAGCTGCTGAATATATACAAATTCTCGAGCAATTCACCAGAACGCAGGTCAAACTTGACATCGTCTCCACTCACGGATCCTTCGCTGCTTAAATTCCTGAAAACGTCCCTTTAAGGGTTTATTAGAAGCTCTCTGATTTCAGGCATGCAAAGTTTTTATTAATCTTAACCGGTGAACAACAGGGCAACTATTCAGCTCATTGATTATAATACGAGTCGAGATAGGTTTAAAATTAATCACTTAATACTACATGTAAACCCCCACTGACTTCATTAAGGTATAATAGACCCCTTCTGTTACTAGGGGTAACCACATGACGCCACCTCATTGTGCGCCCAGTAGCGTCGTGTACCGTGTAATCGAATACGGACAGATCCGTTTGGCTCGTCAACTGTTAAGTCTATAGCAAACAGTTTGGTCAACTACAAGAGGATTTCTGTCACCAGCACAGCTACTGTGAAATTATGGCAAATAGTTAAGTGGGATAGACAACAAAACAAAATAGTTTTTATCAATTGTCATCACAGACTTTAGGTAAAAATTCGGACATTTTTCCAGGTAGGTAGATGAAAAACTTTATTTTATTGATCTATGCAGATAGTTTAATATTTGAAGAAATAAATTTCATTTAGATAAGAAATTAATACTGACAGTTTAAAAAAGTGCGCGTAATTCAAGAGATTCTTATTAATGAGTCAATGTTCTAGACCTATTGTGTTATTTCAAATGGAACGAAATACCGGGGTCCCGTGTACACATTAGCGTGTACGTAAAAGATCCTTTGGCAGTTGGAATTCGATATAAGAGTAGGCCGTAGTGCCGCTGTCCGGGTAAAGTTTTCCTCATAGCACACTGTATGGCGTATGCCCGTCTTCATTAGCCCAGTTCGGAGCAGAACAGTAGGACATTAAACCCCATTTCATTTCATTTCAAATAATATATAGAAACGGTCGAATAATGCAGTGAGCGTTCATCAAGTTTTTTCAGGAAGAAGCCTATATATAGGGTTTCGGATCGTAAACTCTGAATGCGTTTCTAAGAGTTAATTTTTCATTCACATTTTTACTTTTAAACCATATGTAAAGAGTTTTTCTTAATGCTATAATATAACGAGTTTTTCTTTCTTACTACTTGGGTTTCGGGTCGTAAACTCTGAATGCGTTTCGAGGAGTTATTTTTCCATTCACATTTTTACTTTTAACTTAGTAAAGGGTTTTTCTTAATACTAAAATATAACGAGTTTTTCTTACTACTATAATCGATATTTTAAAACTTGTTCTGTGCGTTTTGGTGTAAAAGAGCATATTATAATAATCCAAAAATAACAAAGTCAGTCAACGAGAAGAGATATAGGTTATTTTCTTATTTCATGGTCATATATCTTTATTTTCAAAAATAATTATATAACAAATATATTATGAATACATAATAGATAATGAATACGTACGATTATAAATATATAAGATTCTAGATACGATCGCAATTAAAGTTACAATTTCATATTTTTAAGTTCTATTTTTAAAATGTATTAAAATAAAGCCCTAAAATAGATGGTATCTATAATTAGTATAAACAGTCCTACCTTGTTAAAGAATAATCCTGTCAATCCTGTAATTCACTGTTGCCAGTTGAGAAATTGGCAAAAATATCATTTTCAACTTCAAATTCAAACGTTTGAAGATAGCTATTCCATGGTAGGGAATAAAAACAAGGGAGGTAATTAGGAGGTAATTGAGTTATTATTTACGGTGTGAAACATTTTTGAGTGTGAGAGAATGATAACTATGATCGTATAATAGTGAGTTGACAACCTATTGAGCAAAAGACATAGAAATAATTATGTTTTGACTTTCTTAGAAAATATGAAATTGTCGCTTTAAACAAAAATAGATAAAAATGTAGAAGTCGCTGATGGTCATTTCCATGTTTCAGACAATATGTAAAATTTAACGACTCAATCCACGTTAAAATACACTCAAAATTGATTATTTAAAGACACATTATGCAAGAGCTAAATTTGCCTATTGCGGGTCTTTCTTTAGGCCTTAAATGTTATCTAAATTATTAATTAGACATTTAATTTATTAACATGACAAAACCATAATCAATTCTGGGCAAAGTTCCAAACTTTCATTACCATAAAAAAAAATAATCTATGAGATTGTTCCAAAATGACTGAGGTATGATGTCAACGAGACGTTGAACTCAATTCGATTTTATTTTAAAAAATTTAAAGTGGTATTAGGTAAGATTAAATAAAGAGCTGACAGTTCTCGCTATAATAGATAATGAAAATAGAATATTAGCGATTCAATTTTAGGCTAGCTTCGGTACGATAATAATGAGTCTCGATAATTCATTATTACGTTAAATCATCCATCACAAAACGTATTAAAATCCACTAAATATCGCAGGCAAACGATGGCATCGAGAGTTGATTATGGTCTTGATAAGTTAAATAATGTCTAATTAATAATTTAGATAACATTGACCTAAAGAAAGACCTGCAATAGGACGATTTAGCTCTTGCATAATGTATGTTTAGTTAATGAAACAGTAACGGCCTTCTGTCACGGTGTCTGCAAGGGGCAATGTCTAGTCGTTCGTATAGGACGAAAAACCGAGGCCCCGTGTAACCATAAAGAACCCTTGACAGTTGGAATTTGAAATAAGAGTAGGCCTTATCATAGCACAGTGTATGAGATATGCCCGTCTTCATTAGCCCAGTCGGTGCAGAACAGTAGGACGTTAAACCCCATTTCATGTCAGTTTAAAGAAACATTCCCCTGTCATAGTGCCGCTGTCTCATGGTGTATGCCCATCTTCATTAGCCCAGTCAGTGCAAAACAGTAGGACGTCAAATCCCATTTTATCATTTGTCACGGTGTCTCTTTAAACAAAGCTTTTTAAAAAGATAACAAATATCAGATATTGAAGTAGTTTATGATCATATTCTTTATGAAATAAGACAGCGGGGAGTATACATGTCATGTAAGTATATATAGATATAACGGTATCGTATATCAAGGGTTACAGGTGTTTATAATAAACTGGTTGCGTGGTCGAGTTAACTATGTGACATTAGTTACCTTAACACCACACACAACAGTTGTAAATAATATGCATTTAAAAATCTTTGTTTAAAGAGAAATGAAATGAAATGAAATGGGGTTTAACGTCCTACTGTTCTGCTCCTAAACTGGGCTAATGAAGACGGGCATACGCCATACAATGTTCAATGAGGGCAGATTTTCCGATGAGGTTCCCCCTTGTCGATGATGCAGGGCGGAGAGCCTGACAAGGACAGCTGTCGACGAAAAACCGAGGTCCCGTGTACACATTGGCGTGCACATAAAATATCCCTTGACAGTTGGAATTCGATATAAGAGTAGGTCGTAGTGCCGCTGTCCGGGCAAAATTTCCCTCATAGCACACTGTATGGCGTATGTCCGTCTTCATTAGCCATGCCGGAGCAGAACGGTAGGACATTAAACCCCATTCCATTTCATTGCCAAAAATACTAGAATACTCGTGTTTATAATGTAACAAAAATACTCAGATTTTTCATTGATCTTTCAGGATGAAGAAGGATGATGACAAGCCTATCCCTGCCATGGGTCCGGGCAGCAGAATCAGTGCTTTGCCTCCAATGATCCGAAAGCACATAAAGAAAGAAGATCTTGTAGTAACAGTGGACTACTCCACCACGGGACTGAAAGCTTTCCCAAACGAAGTCTTCAAGAACGAAGAGATCATGAAATACGCTAAATTCATCTGGGCTCAAAATAATCGATTAAAGAAACTACCTAAGCAGATCTCGGATCTTCCGAAACTCGAATCCATTAATCTGTCTACAAATACAATAGGTGCTATTCCTGGAACCATCACAAAGTTAGCTAATCTCACTATGCTCAACGTCGAGAAAAACAACCTAAAAGCCTTACCAGCAACAATTCAGAAAGCCCCTTCTATCGTTACCATCCTTGCCGCAGATAACAAAATAAAGTCGCTCCCCAAAAATATCCAAAAGTGTCCCGCTCTTGAACATTTGGATGTTTCTAGAAATCAGATCAAAAGTCTAAAAAAGAACGTCTATGAACTAAAAGGAAGCGTTAATGTTAGTGGTAACAAGTTGGTTGATCTCCCGGATGCTACTATTAAAGCCCCTGCTCTCAAATCCTTAAATGTGTCCAACAATGAAATCAATTACGTTCCCGAATCCATCAATCAAGTGACAACCCTAACCTATTTGGATTTGTCCCACAATGACTTAACAGAAATTCCAGGGGAACTGGGTTTCCTAAAATATCTACATTATTTAAATATCTCCCATAATAAGTTAACCGAGTTACCAAATGAAATATGTTCTTTACAGTTCTCTCTGGTGGAACTCCAGGCCAGTAATAACAAGCTCAAAGCTCTTCCAGTAGGTATCAACACAATGAAAGTCCTGGAGACTCTGAATCTAGCAGTTAATGAACTAGAAGCATTGCCCGAAAACTTTTTTGTACTGGAACATCTGAAACAACTGAATGTCTCGGAAAATCAAATTACCAGTATTGATGGCGTCCAGAAACTAACCCAATTGCAGATCCTGGATATTTCCAAAAACAGCATTCCTAGTCTTCCTGATGATATTGGTCAGCTGAAAATGTTGAAAGAAATCTATTTTGCTGGCAACAGTGTTAGGAATCTGCCGATGGACATAAACAAAATTAGTACCCTTAAATGTATTGCAGCTCGTGGAAACAAATTGTCGTTCTTCCCGGATTCTTTGGGCGCTTATCAACTACTTACGGACATAGATTTCAGCAACAACCGCATTTCGGCAATACCCAACGATTTAACCCCACTGCGCGTGTTAGAGTCCCTAAAGCTCCACAATAATCACATTTCAACTCTGCCGAAAGTTTTGGAAGCACACCAGTTTTTACGAGAGTTAGATGTATCCGCTAACTCGTTGACTGATGTCCCGCTTCCGGCAACCATAACGCATTTAAATCTTGCTGGAAATCCAATCCATTTACCTTCGGGTGACGGACGTTCATTGCTCAACACAATTGGTGAAAAGGAACATGCCAAACGAATAACATTCCTTGATTTATCGAGTATCAAAATGGACGAGATTCCTCCTAGTTTGTGTCATCTTAAGCTGCTGACAACCTTGAGGATGTCTCACAACCTGATCAAAGATCTCCCCGAAGAATTGTGTAAGTTAAGGATGTTAGAGGAACTTGATCTGGGCGACAATGATATAGAAAAAATACCAGAGAAAATTGACTCTTTGCAGAGCTTGAAAAAACTCGATTTATCCCAGAACCGCATCGTCGAATTCCCAGTACCACTGACAGAGTTGCATCATCTGGAGCACCTCAATTTGTCCTTTAACTGCATCAGCAACCTCCCGGAAAACTTTGGCGAACTCAATAAGCTTGTCTATTTGAATCTGTCCAATAATGAACTTTCGCAGCTACCGGAGGATCGTATCGATGTTCTTGCGTCACTTCTTACGCTGAACGTTTCTATAAATCACATAAATGCCGTACCAACGGACATGCCGTACCTGTACAGGATTCAGACTCTTGATGCAGCAAGCAACGACCTTAGTCAGATCCCGAACGACATCGTTAAAATGACGTCGCTAGAAAATCTCAATCTCTCCGACAACCTTTTAGAATCTTTGCCCGAAAGTATATGCAAGATGCCAGCGCTAAAAAAATTAGATGTTTCAGATAATAAAATTCGTTCTCTCCCATCAAAAATAGACTCTCTCCGTTCACGTGCTAAGGTGAACACGGCTTCTCAGTCATCCTACAAAACGCGAGAGCCGAAGGATCAACAAGCTCCAGGAGGAACTCAAACAGATGGTAAAAGTTCTTCACGATCAGCAAAGAGTCCAAGTAACGATGATTAAATAAAAGTCGGAAATTTATAACTTTATTTATTTATATTTCTAAATGGTTGCTCGTCTCTGTGATCAGTCGTGTTCGGTCTTGACATTTAATGGGTGTGTTTATTAGCGAGTCTTCGTACTGGTGGAACAATTTGGGAGTCTGCTTAATGAGTGTGTTTAGCGAGTTTTCTTACTTGTGGAGCAACTTGGGAATCTGCTTGGGGCTTGTAAAGAACACAAATGATGTTAAACTGTCGAATGTTGAGTCAGGTCTATTTCCCGTGGAACCCGAAGTCTTCCTCACACATTTGATTCTATTCCTGTGAGCAATTATTGTCCAGGTCAGGGAGTTAGAACTAAATTTATTTATCTTCTAAAAGTTGCTCGTCTCTATGATCAATTGCGTACGACCTTGGCATTTAATGAGGGTGTTTAGCGAGTTTTCTTACTGGTGGGCAACTTTAGGAGCCAGTGTGGAGCTCGCAAATGACCGTAGAAAATGTTAAGTCTTTTACATCTGGACCTTGAAGTTTTCTCACACATTTGATTCAGTTTTAACACCCGCTTCCACCACCGAAGTGATATCGCGTTGTGAATAATAGTTATTGTCCATTATTATATCATCATCGTCGTTTTTCATGAAATTGATGTCTTCCCCTTATTGTGTTGTAATGGGTATTACTGAAAATGAAGCAGGTCTTTCAATGGAATTGTTACAATAAACCTTGACGTGAAGAATGTTCGCCATTTTGTTTTGTGCAAAGGTTCATTAATTATGCACTTTTGTTCGCCTTAGATCAAAAAGTATGCTTGCATGAATGAAATGGGGTTTAACGTCCTACTGTTCTGCTCCGAATGAGATAATGAAGACGGGTATACACCATACAGTGTGCTATGAGGGAAATTGTGCTCGGGCAGTGGTGCTACGGCTTACTTTTATATAGAATTCCTACTGCCAAGGGATCTTTTACGTGCACGCCAATGTCTACACGGGACCTCGTTTATTTTTATTCCATCCGAACGACGATACGTTGTCCCTTGTCAGACCCTGTGACATGCACCACTGACAAAAGGGAACCACGCAAAAAAATCCCGATGAAATTTCTCCGCCCACACCGGGATGGAACACAGGACTAAAACATTGGAATCATTAAAAAAAGAAATGAAATGGGTTTAACGTCCAATTGTTCTGATCCGAACTGGGGTAATGAGGGACATTTTTCCCGGACAGCGGCACTGCAGTCTACTCTTATATCGAATTCCAACTGTCAATGGATCTTTTACGTGCACGCCAATGTTTACACGGGACATCCATTTTTCGTCCCATCCAACCGACTAGACAACTTTCCTTGTAAGGTCCTCCATTCTGCACCACTGACACCACGTCGGAAAATCCAGATGAACCGGAACCACTAAAATAACACACCATAACCGGGTCAATATAATTCCAGATCCACACAATATATAATACTCCACTAAAAACATTTATACTAATTTATATTACAAGAGCTAAATCTGCCTATTGCAGATCTTTATTTAGGCTTCAGATGTTATAGAAATTATTAATTAGACCTTTATTTACATGCCAAGCTCAAAATCAACTTTGTAGACCCTGGGTGGCTTGGATATAGCTTGGATTTAAACAGTCGTGCATTTAATAACGTTTACAGTTTACCATTAGTCACTGGCGTCACTACCGGAGACTGCCAGCCGATCGAGGGTACCATAGCCATTGAGAATGTTACTTGATCATCGAGAATATGTCGGTGAAGTTCTGTCAATCAAGCGATCGGCAATTCTCGGAGACGGTGTTGAGACAGTTAATTGATGCCTATTATAGTCCAAACTACAAGTTCGTTCAGAATAAAGTAATTTAACCGGAATTAAACCTAACCTACAATTTCGCCAACAATCACGTGCCCTACCGTAACCTTATTTTTCACGAAAATGAGCTTGCCTTAATAAATAGATTTAGCTAACTTTCCAGGGTTCTTTTACGTGCACGCCAATTAATGTTTACCAGACTAATTTAAATTACTGTAAATAGAATCGTGATGAACGAATGACAAACTGAAAATGACAGACTAACTTCGCAGCGATAGCGCCCCCTGAGAGTAAAATAAAAGTAGATACCGGTATTTAGAATAGAATGTATTTGAGCGAAGTATGGGTTAATAATATCGCTTTTACAAATGGCTTTGGATTACGTCATTTTCTTAAATTCTGGGTAAGCAGATTTTACTAATCTGATCTCTAGAGGGTTTTACTTTTAAAATTCCTACAAGATCTGTAATTGTAATGAATTACCGAATACCGTAGGTTACTCGTGTACAACTTATGTCATTCTGACTTCTGTGTTTTTCTTCCTACACGTCGTTAAGGACTCTAAGGATTTGCGTAATTTCTATGCTGTTGACAATAGTTAGTTGAATGCGACAGACAGTACAGTAGTGCTAAGTTCTGACCGTCTTAATTTCATGGAGGGTTGGAACGTCCACTTCCACCTACATGTCAATCATGTAGGTCGGGTGATATTGCCAGGAAACTTGCAGGAGGAAGAGCCAGTCGTTAATGATAAGTTAATGAGAGGCTTGACTAGCGGAGTTTGGATAGCGAGTAAGTAGCCTACTTGTAGACCATGTAGTCCCTTAATAGGCTACTCTTATGAATATGACACGTGAACAGTACAGGGGTGCTGAAATAGAAAATGACCGATATTCTCGTCAGTGATAAGATTGTCATATATAAATATTAATAACTTTTATTGTTCGACTATCAGAATCAGACACCTGCTCAATTCAGTCCTCTCAGTTGACGACCATAATTAGCTGTATCCGAGCTTAAAGTAGCTAAGTCTCTAACTCAATATCATCCAAAATCTTCAACATTTAAAACACGATTTATTTGTCAAATTAAATCAACATTCATGTTGTGATCTTACCAAAAAAAGATGGGCTTTTGATATCCAATATTTAAGACAAAATAAACATTTTACCATTGGTACACGAATCGTGTACCATAATGCGCTTCAGCCCCAGTTGTATCAAGAGACTCGAGGGACAAGGCTAGACACATTGCACCAAATCAAACGGCATATGTAGACTGGAATAACCAGACGCTAGAAATTTGCACTCACTTGAGACTGCTGGCTTATTTCGCCGAACATAACTGATTTGAAATTGGAGTAAAAACGGAAACCATTGAATGTAAATCAGTTTAAATATACATTCATACTACAGTATTATATGCGTTGAGACCCACTTTTGTCAATTTCTAGGTCCCAAATGTTAGCGATTTAGCTCCTTTAAATTACATGGTTATTACACGTATGCTGTATTATCTTGAACTTGTTGAAGTCTATAATTACTTGACGGGTGGTCTATTGTTGCTGTTGGCGTACTATATATCTTTCTTTTTTCTTTTTTTATTAAATAAAGTTTATTTCCAAATACATAGGCCTGCATATAGTATATAGGTAGCCCTATACAAATGGGATCAGAACAAATTTTACAATTTACGAATCTTCTCCCAGTATAATCTAAAATTTTAAATATTTATGTACAATTACCACTGAAATTTAATTTAAAGGTCACCGGAAAAGCTTCATAAATTTTTTGAATATTGCAAGTAAATATGTCAATATATCCTTTCCATAAGTATAACAGGAACCCGAATGTCAATGTTACCTGCAACAGGTTAATTTTAACGTTAGTAATTTCCGTTGTTTTGTGTGGTTAGTTGTAACTTTCCGTCAGTAAACAATCTGTGCCTCATTTTAGTCCTTCTGCTCATAGAAATATAGACTAGTAGGCCTATATGAACAGAAGGACTAAAATGACGTCACGGATTGTTTATTGACAGAAAGTTATGACTACTCACAGAGAATGGCAGAAATTACTAACATTGAAATTTACCTGTTGCAGGTAATATTGACATTCGGCTTTGTGTTATACTTATGAAAAGGATATGTTGACATAATTACTTGCATTATTTAAAAAAAAAATTGCAGCTTTTCCAGTGACCTTTAATACAAACCAGGTAGCTATATGCTACCTTAGGGTAATAGGTTCATGTTGTTAAATACTAAGTAAATATTAATAGTGATAAACCACTAGAGAATTACAATAATAACTACAAAGTACATGTGAATCTTTTCATTTCTTTAATATAATTTTGTACGGTGAGAGAAATATATGGATATTAAAAGATTTAGGAAATAGTGTCGAACCATCTAAATAAATTTTATGCAATTAGGGTCTTGGTAGATTGCCTATAAAGCCAAGTTTATCAATTAAATGATGATGCTGTACCACATATTTTAAGCAACTAAAAAAATAAAACGAAATTTACAATGATTTTATTGTCGCATGTACAGTATGGATTTTGAACGATGTTTGATTTATTAAAATCACCGGAGGTAAACTATTGAACTTTTGAATGGTAGTGTAGGTTAATATTCTGAGAGAGAGAGAGAGAGAGAGAGAGAGAGAGAAATGGGTTAAACATCCACTCACACAAACTAGGTCATTTCGGGACTAACACATAGTTCAATTTTATTTCTATAATTTGCTTGTGCATAGGGATCTTTAGCAGTGAGAGGAAACAGGAGTACCCTGAGAAAACCCACGAGTTTGGACAGGTGATCCTACTCCTTGTCACGTACAACTGGGGATTCGAAACCACGCCAGTTGACTCAATGATATAACAACTCTTCCAGATCCTAGTGTAGTAAAGACAAGTAAAACGAAATTTTGAACTATAAAAAACGAAACGAAATAGGATCTGTGTGTTAACCAGATTGCATATATGGCCTTCTTGGAACCCATGCACTGATTTAACCCCTGCGTGCTTTTGAATAACCTGTGTGTGTTTTATCTAGATATATAATAGGCCAGTTAGAAGGTTAATGTAGCCATATACAATAGGCCAGTTAGTAGGTAAATGTAGCCATAGTTTAGGTCATGGCAAGTCCTAGAGGAGTAACACAGCTTAATACATATAAGGGAGTTATTGTAACCAGAGTCCTACAACCATGATTACAGCTCAGCAACAGATGTGCTGACCTTTATAAAGATGTAAAATTATATTTCAAATGTTATTCTTAAAAAAATGTAGGCCTACTGTTAGGACAGAGGTAATAGTGTGACTGTTCCTGACTCGAGTTTAAATACAGGGTAATGTCTGACTTTATTTGTACCTATAAAGGCTGTGTATGATTTTTGTACTTTTATTTTTCACCATGACATATAGTATGCTGCCATGAAAGTGCTTTTTGATGAATTAAAATTCTATTCTATTCTTCCTTTCCCCGGTTGTACATGACAAGGAGTAGGGTTGCCTGTCCAAATTCATGAGTTTTCTCCGAGTCCCCCAGTTTCCTCCCACTGCCAAAGACCGGGTCTAAAATATGGTTCAATTTTATTTCAATAATTCGCATGCGCCTAGGGGTCTTTAGCAGTGGGAGGAATGCGGAGGACCCAGAGAAAGCCCACAAGGTTGGACAGGCAACCCAACCCCTTGTCACGTACAACCAGGGATTCGACACCACGCCAGTTGACTCAATGACAGACACAGACCTTATGATACAAGAGCTATATTATTAGAGCTATATTATATGATAAATGATGAAATAAAATGAATTTGGGTTTAATGCCCTACTTTTCTGTAGACTAATGAAGAGAGGATGACACTTATTAAAGATACAGTCAGGTTAAAACACGGTCTTATGGTGGGCTAATTTAATTAAAGATACATTAGTTAAGAGCTAAATCTGCCTATTGCAAGTCTTTCTTCAGGCTTCAGATGTTAAAGAAATTTTTAATTTGACCTTTATTTACATGACAAAGTTCAAAATCAACTCTGTAGACCATCTGGGTCCTCTGGTTTCCTCCCACTTCTAATGACCCCTATGCGCAATCAAATTATTGAAATAAAATCAAACCATAGGTTATTCCCGAAATGACCTAGTTTGTGGTTTGTGTTGAGTGGAGGTTAAACCCTCCCTCTCTCTCTCTCTCTCTCTCTCTCTCCAACACAATTTTAAAGATGCAGTAATAAAATATAGATAAAGAGCTGGCCATTCTAAAAATAGATAATGAAAAAAGAATATTTCGAAAATTTCACTAAAATTACTTTTTGTGCACTCTGCCCTGGAAGACAATCTTAAAACAAATAGCAAAAACAAGATGGTTGGTGTGAAATGTCATTTATTATGAAGCATAGGTTCTGACAGTAATTAAATATACATTATGGGAGATTAGATAAAGAGCTGGCAGTTCTCACTATAATAGTAAAAAACTAGATAATGTAAAGGGAATTTGCTGAAAATTTCAGTCAAATTGATCTGCTCTCAACCGAGAATTTAGCAATTGAATTTTGGGCCTAGCTTCAATCATCATTACTAAAGTCGATACGATAAAAAAACATAGTCTTGATTATCCATTTTTTTGATTTAATCATGAATGAGCGTTGAGCAGCAAATCGGGTTCTAATCCAGTAAATATCGCAAGCTAGCGATGACATTGAGAGTTGATTATGGTCTGGATAAGTTAATTAATGTCTAATTAATAATTTAGATAACATTTCAGGCCTAAAGAAAGACCTACAATAGGTAGATTTAGCTCTTGCATAATGTATGTTTATCTAAAATCTTGGTTCATAGTGGATCAATTTGACTGAAATTTTGAGAAAATTGTGTTTACATTATCTAGAGTCTAACTATTATAGTGAGAACTGCCAGCTCTTTATCTAATCTCCCATAATGTAACTTTAACTCTGAGAATGCTTTGTGAAACAGGGGCCTGATGTATAAATTAAAACTTAAACCATTTTACTTTTTATTTCTGAAACAGAGTTTACCATTGAGTGAAAAATTACAGAATTGTACATGAATTGAATTTGCCAAACCAGATTGAAACAGAATGCAGACATCGGACATAGACACAGAGAAGCAGCCTCTACTAGGATCACAATCTAACCATCATGTTAATGATATCAGTATCAACGGTCTCCATACCAACACATCTAGATCAACTGCTGAAATCTCGGAAAATGGCTCGTCCAAAACTTCGGACGCTGAAGAATTCTCTTTTCGATCTCTTGGTAAACGCAAAAAAATCATTTTCGTGATTATTGGAATGGGCAACTTCTGTGCTTTTACCTGCTTTTCGTTGTTGGCACCATTTTTTCCAGGTGAGGTAAGATTTCTTTTTCCTATGTCTTCAGAAACGAAAGGAAATGAAATGAAATGGGGTTTAACGTCCTACTGTTCTGCTCTGAACTGGGCTAATGAAGACGGGCATATGCCATACAGTGTGCTATGAGGGAAATTTTGAATGAACAGCAGTACTACAAACTACTATTATATCGAATTCCAACTGTCGTGGGATCTGTACGTGCACACCAATGTGTATACAGGGCCTCGGTTTTTCGTCCCATCCGACGACATACATGAAAATTCTTATTACGTGTTTTGGTACTTTGTTCATCGGCGTGGTTCCCCTTGACAGTGGTGCAGGACGGAGGGCCTGACAAGGACAGCTGCCAAGTCATTTGGATGAGACGAAAAACCGAGGTCCCGTGTACACATTTGCGTGCATGTAAAAGATCCCTTGGCAGTTGAAATTCGATATAAGAGCAGGCCATAGTGCCGCTGCCCGGGCAAAATTTCCCTCATAGCACACTGTATGGTGCATGCCAGTCGGAGCAGAACAGTAAGACGATAAACCCTATTTCATTTCATTTCGGTTTCGGTACCTGTTTTGTTTTCGGAAGAGTTTTACGGATAGGACAAAATATTATTTCTGATTTCCAATATCTCGGTTATTTCTCAACAGATCTTCGTCAGGTTTTCATTTTTGGATTCTTTTGACAAATCCTATACGGGCTCTGATGGTTTTTCAAAATTCGGAAGTTCACATGCTTAATCGTAAAATCACAAATGGCAAATTGAAAAACTTACGAAAATTTCTTCTGAGGCCTTCCGATTTTTCCCAAACATGAATATTTCTCTCCATTTCGTTAATAGACTATATCAGTGGTTCTCAACCTTTTTTTGCCAACAGCACACCTTGGAACGCATGAAAAATTAGCGGCACACCTGGCTAAATATATATGTAAAGTATTTGAATTTTGCAAATTAAAAACATGGTAAGTCAGACAGAATACAATCGTTAACAGAGACTAGTCATGGACACATAGAATGACTCAAACTTAATAAAGAAAATCATAGCTATGAACTTATCAGTAGACACCTGTGAATACTCAATTGGGATCACGTGGTTTTTCATAGGGTCAAAAGTCGCTCGTATGACCTCTGACGCGACCTATCGCTACAAACAGTCAGATCTTTGTGTAGTGTAGACCATCAAAAGTATAAAAAAAAACGAAACGAAAAATAGATCTATATTTTAATCAGATTGGACTCGATATTATTTGATGATGTGACACAGTTTGATATTATTAAAGGCTCAATACCACTCTTGTTGTAACTGAATAATATGTCCCAATCTTTATTCTGGTCAACAAATTGTACTATTTTAGAATATTTCAATTGATTGATAATACAAATTTCATCTTAACACACCTTATTTAGAAATTTTGAAAAATTCAACATAATGGTTTGAAACATCTAACGTAAACCTTTTCAAATGAAACTTCGATTTAAAAATATTTTCGAACCCTCTGGACAAGTAAAATAGGATGTAATGGATAATTTACACAACAGGTAGGACACTTAAACATCTAGTACTTAGATAGAGATATTATTTATTTTCTGGAGCTTTCAAGCCAGCAAGAGTGTTATTTCCCTTTAAGTGTTATTTACCGGTAATGGAAACCGTTAACTTGACCAGTCGCTATTTATACGACGCTCGCGTTGACATGTTTGACTGAAACAGGTAATTACTGCTTCGCGGATCTAGTAGTATCATTTTAGCCATTCATGCTTTTAGATTCAGACTTTCAGTTTAACTATATAAGGGGAAGAAGCCTAATAGTATAGCTATACACTAATATGTTTTGATTAGTCTTACCAGTTTCTATTTGTATTTCAGGCAGCAAAGAAAGGAGTTTCTACAACTGTTGTTGGTCTAATATTTAGTTGTTTTCAATTATGGATATTTATAACATCACCAATATTTGGCTACTTTGTAAGTATATAGATTTTAAATAATAATAATAATAATAATAATAATAATAAAAACTTTATTTAATGAGGCAACGTATTTAGTTTGCAAAAAAACAAAAAACCGAATCTTCCATAGGTCCCTCCTAAGCTACAAAGACATATATACATGCAATATCAGGATAAATTTAAAATCATTAGAAGTGCAATAGCATTTTAAAGTGGGAAGTTTGATAAGTCACTCTCAAACTCCCAAACTACAAAACATATACATTATACAAGTAGAATATAGGAAGAACACTATAATTACACACAAAATAAAATAGAATGCAGTTGCAAGTTAGGGATCGCGTGGCTAAGTGGGTAAGACGCTAGCTCGCTAGCCTGGAGGTCGGGTGTTCGATCCCTGCATTGGCCGAGAAAGTTCATCCAGATTTTCCGGCGTGGTTCTCCCTTGTCAGTGATGCAGGACGGAGGGGCTGACAAGGAAAGCTGTCTAGTCGTTCGGATGAGACGAAAAACTGAGGTCCCGTGTACACATTGGCGTGCACGTAAAAGATCCCTTGGCAGATGGAATTCGATATAAGAGAAGGCCGTAGTGCCGCTGTCCGGGCAAAATTTCCCTCATAGCACACTGTATGGCGTATGTCCGTCTTCATTAGCCCAGGTTAGGAGCAGAACAGTAGGACGTTAAACTCCATTTCATTTCAGTTGCAAGTTAAAAATAACAAGTATGTCATGTATTTCAAAACAACAAAATATTAGACAACTCAAAGTCAGTTGTCTAAATTGTTGAGGGGGATTGGATGGCCGAATATTTAGCATGTGCGTGTTGTATCATTAGGTCTGTCATTGAGTCAACTGTCGTGGTTTCGATTCCCCAATTTTACATGACAAGGAGTAGGGTCGGCTTGTCGCCTGTCCACCTTGTGGGTTTTCTCTGGGTCCTCTGGTTTCCTCCCACTACTAAAGACCCCTATACGCAAGCGAATTATTGAAATAAAATTGAACCATGTGTTAGTCCCGAAATGACCAAGTTTGTGTCGAGTAGACGCTAAACCCCATTTCTCTCTCATTCTAGTACATCTCTTCCAGTCAAACCAAGACATTTCTAAACTCTATTATGATACAAAGTCAGCATAGTCATTTGGATGAGACAAAAAAAACCAAGGTCCTGTGTACCTATCTGTGTGCACGTAAAAGATCCTTCGGCATTTGGAATTTTATATAAAAGTAGCCCGTAGAGATTAGATAAGGAGTTGTCAGTTCGCACTATAATAGTTAAAAACTAGATAATGTAAAGATTTGCTGAAAATTTCAGTCAAATTGATCCACTCAGCCTAGCCTCGATCATCATTACTATAGTCGGTACGATAAAAAACAATCTCGATTATCCATTTCATGATTGAATTATGAATGGAATTCGAACAGCAAATTGGAACCTAATCCAATAAACATCGCAGGCTAGCAATGCCATCAAGAGTTTATTATGGTCTGGATAGGTTAATTAATGTCTAATCAATAATTTAGATAACATTTCAGGCCTAAAGAAAGACCTGTATGAGGCAAATTTAGCTCTTGCATAATGTATGTTTAATAATATTTTAACATACCCAACATTTTCTGTTTTCTGTTCAGCTTACAACATTAGGAGCTAAATTTGTGTTCGTATCAGGAATTATGGTTTGTGGCTCATGTTCTCTTCTATATGGGTAAGTTTAACAGCTGTCTAGTTGTTCGGATGGTATGATAAAACCAGGTCCTGTGTACACATTGGCGTGAACGTAAAAGATCTCTTGACAGTTGGAATTCGATATAAGAGTAGGCCGTAGTGACGCTGTCCGGGCAAAATTTCCCTCATAGCACACTCAGTTCGGAGCAGAACAGTAGGATGTTAAACCCCATTTCATTTCGTTCGGATGGTACGAAAAACCGAGGTCCTGTGTACACATTGGCGTGCACGTAAAAGATCCCTTGACAGTTGGAATTTGATATAAGAGTAGGCTGTAGTGCCGCTGTCCGGGCAAAATTTCCCTCATAGCCCACTGTATGGCGTATACCCGTCTTCATTAGCCCAGTTCGGAGCAGAACAGTAGGATGTTAAACCTCATTTAATTTCATTTCATTTCGTTCGGATGATACGAAAAAACGAGGTCCTGTGTACACATTGGCGTGCACGTAAAAGAAACCTTGACAGTTAGAATTCGATATAAGAGTAAGCCGTAATGCGGCTATCCAGGCAAAATTTCGCTCATAGCACACTGTATGGTTAATGCGTGCGCGGTGGATCATAAGGTCTGATATTGGCGTGTTTCAATTCCCTGCTTGTATGTGACAAAGAGTGGTTTTTTTTATCCGGATGTTCCGGTTTCTTCCCACTGACAAAGATCCCTACACTCAACCAAATTATTGAAATAAAATTGAACCATATGTCATGGCCGTGGTTTCAGTTCCCCGCTTGTACCTGACAAAGAGTAGGGTCGCCAGTCCATCCAGTGGGTTATCTCTGGTTTCCCTCCACTGCTAAAGATCCATCCATACATGCAACCAAATTATTGAAATAAAATTGAACCATATGTTAGTCTTGAAATGATCTTGTTTGTGTTGAGTGGAGGTTAAATTTTCCCTCCCTCTCTCTCTCTCTCTCTCTCTCTCTCTCTCTTTCTTGATAGTTTTGTTTTGTTTTCTTTATTAACTCAATATAGCTAAAATTGATTTATTTTAATTTTCAGAATTTTAGATAAATGCCCTCCCAATGAAATATTTATAGCCATGTGTTTTTTGTGTAGAACTGTTGATGCTTTAGGATGCTCAGCATATCTATGTGTGATAAGCAAGAACTGAATTGAATTGTTTTTATTTTCAGAATTTTAGATAAATGCCCTCCGGATGAAATATTTATAGCCATGTGTTTTTTGTGTAGAACTGTCGAGGCTTTAGGATGCTCAGCATATCTAACAGCTAGTGCAGCAATCATTGCTCGGGAATTTCCTCATCATGTCACAACTGTTTTTGTAAGTATTACTAATGTAGTATTATTGTCTGTTTACATTGCATGAAATTAATTGTGAGTTATCAGGGTTGAGGACTGAGAATCCACAGATTTGTTTTATGGTCATGAATAGTGCTGATCACTGGAATCATATCAATTTTCAGCGATTAACAATGATTACACGAAGGGTTATGCCCTGTGGTTACTTTGAATAATTTGGAGAAGAATCCTAATGATTTGCAGAGTTAGTTTCCTTTTTTGTACTTTGTAGGGAACTTTAGAAACATTTACTGGTATTGGTTTGATGGTTGGACCACCCATAGGAGGGGCTTTATATGAGGTACTGTTTTTTTATATGCCTATATTGAAATGTTGTATATTGTCGTTACCCCGGTCTGTCGACCTATCCATCTTCCACAATTGGGTGTGGCTTCTCTAGAGGCTTTAGCTATGCCCACATCGAAATGTTATATGTTTTGTTTGACAAGTTATTACGCCCAATTAACCAGTGCATAGCAGAATATTGCAGAAAAAAAATTGTGTGACAAACAAGGCTATCAAAATAACTACAACACTTTCAACATTTTTAATACCTTAAATCGCTGTCCAAATTAAGGCCTATCATGTTGCTGTAGTTAGGAGAAATTTGATTGAACAGGAAGAATAGACACATTTCCTCAAAAGTTCAAGTATCAGAAGTCAATCCAGCAATGGCCAGAGAGGGATTTCTCGGGCCATTGCTTCAGGAATATGACATTGAGGATGCATTATGTAAGATTTAGATAAAGAGCTGTCAGTTCTCACTATAATAGTTAAAAAATGGATATTGAAAAGGGAATATGTTGAAAATTTCAGTCAAATTACTTCATTATGAGTTAAGTTAGGACTGTGACGATAATAAACAAATTCTCTTGAATAGCTCTTGAATTGTGCATCTTCTAGAATTTTAATGTATTAACACTTCGTGTTTATTGAGGCACAATTAAAGCGCACCATGACAACTTTCAATATTTTTGGATTGTAAATTTAGAAGAACATGTTTTGCTGATTTATCTTTTCCATCACATCTTTACTTTTCTTCCCCGGTTGTAAGTGACAAGGAGAAAGGTCACCTGTCCAACCTTGTGGGTTTTCTCTGCGTCTTCCGGTTTCCTCCCACTGCTAAAGACCCCTACGCTCAAGCGAATTATTAGGGGGTTGGATGGCCGAATGGTTAGCACGTGCGTGTTGTATCATAAGGCCTGTGATTGAGTCAACATGACAAGGAGTAGAGTCGCCTGTCCAACCTCATGGGTTTTCTCCGGGTCCCCCGGTTTCCTCCCACTGCTAAAGACCCATACGCGCAATCAAACCAATAATCAACTTTTTACCTTTAAAACATGAGATACTAGCCCTCATCAATTATTTAAGAATTTTGTTCTCTATTTTTCAGGCTGGAGGATATGGGCTACCATTTTGGACGATGGGTGCTATCTTGTTAACTTGTGGAATTGTTTCTTTTATATTTATGCCGGGACAAGATGGTAGGTACCAGGTAGTCATAAATTATTTAATGAGAATCTATTTTGATACATCTTTAGCACTCCTGAACTAAATTAATTGTTCTATTGTTTCATTTTCATTTGTCTCTGGTTGCTGGCAGTACTGTTGCTCTCTAGCGTTTGAAAATCAAACTTGTCCCAAATGTTATAGTCACGAATATCACAATGACAAATTGTTAATAATGAAAAGGACCTGATAAATGAGTTGTGGCATGTAGTCAACCATAAAATATAGTCCAAAATCCATACGTTTTGTCCTAACTGACACTGAACCATCTAATCCACCATAAAGACTGTGACGCATTAACTCCTTACAACCATCCCAGTACAGTGCAGGTATCAACTGGACTCAACTAGTTTTTTTCAGGACTAACACATCGTTCAATCTTATTTCAATAATTCGCTTGCGTGTAGGGGTCTTTAGCAGTGAGAGAAAACTGGAGGACCCAGAGAAAACCCATGAGTTTGGGCAGGTGACCCTATTCCTTATCACATACAAGAGGGGAATCAAAGCCACACGGCCACTAGACTCAATGACAGAATTTATGGTTTCATGTGCAGCGTTAAACCACTAGACCACCCAACTCCCCTAATATAATGTATGCTGATGTATCATTTTTCAGAAGGAACAAGAGTATTTAAAGGATCTGTATTGCGTTTAGTAAAGAGTCCACTAGCCGTTATTTCCTGTTTAACTGTATTCTGTGGATCATTCTCTCTTGGTTTTCTAGATCCCACATTAGCCAATCATCTAAAAGTCGTAAGTTCTTTTTAAACGGTATATTATCTTGACTGACTTTCCCATCTTTTAAAATTCATAAATTATATTTTGTTGACATTTGACAAAGCAGCCCCTAAAATTTCAACAATTTCATTTTTTAGAATCAACAATTTTGATTTAAAATTACCCCTAACTGGGTTATGACCCTTGTTTTACTTTGTAGAATCTTGTTTTTAATGCGCTAACGACAAAACATTATCGTCGGATCTGTACGAAATGTACGTACATTATTCAAATTGGTGACGTTTAAATTTCAACAATATCCATTAAATACTTCAAGTATTATGGTCCTTTGTAGAATCTTGTGAGCACTCTTAACGAGTTATGGCCCTTGCTCACTTTGTAGAAGGCGAAAGTCAATGTGTGATATTTGTTCTGTATATTTCTGATTATAGGCCTTGATATAATAGAGTATAAAGATTATAGGCCTTGATATGGCGTATGCCCGTCTTCATTAGCCCAGTTCGGAGCCGAACAGTAGGATGTTAAACCCCGTTTCATTTCATTTATATATTATGTTTGGATATTTTTTATATTTTCAGTTTAATTTAAGTACTTTGTATGTTGGTTTAATATTTCTATGTGCACCCGGTGTATATGGTATTATAGCACCTTTATTGGGTTACCTGAGTGATGCTCGAGTATGTATTAGTTTGTTTTCGTTTTTTAAAGTTTTTTTAAAGGAGCTAATTCGCTAATGTGTGGGACTTAGAAATTGAGACAAATGGGTCGTAACGCATATTGTAACGTAATGTGAATGTATATGAAATGATTTACATTCAATCGTTGCAGTTTTAATTCTAATTTCAAATCAGTTATTTGGATGAAATATGCCAGGATTCTCAATCGAATTGCAATCTCTAGCATCTGGTTATTCCAGTCTACACCAATCATATATATTACTCATGCTGTCTAGATAAGAAAAAGATGTCACTGTTTGACATGACTTGTGGAATATGTCTAGCCTCGTTCTTCGAGTCCCTTGTTACAAATGGCGCTGAAATGCATCATGTACCAATGGTAAAATGTTTATCTTGTCTTAAATATTAGATATCAAAACCCATCTTTTCCCGGTAAGATCAATCTTGATTTATTGACATATAATTTGTGATTTCAATGTCGAAGACTTTGGATGATATTAAGTCAGAGACTTAGCTACTTTAATGTTACTTCATGTAATTTGGATATAGAACCATTTAGAATTAGAACTATTTCATACGACCACATGCTAATAATTACTTGTACAGTTATTGCCCTTGATTATGTTATTAAAATGTTTTTACACTCTAATATACATCAAAAATATATATATTCACAATTCGACAAAATTTATGGACAGCTCTGCTTGGATAACTTAGCAGCTATGGGCAAATGTTGCTTTGCCGGTTAATTAAAAAAGATTGTAAGATGCTGGCTCAATAACCTGGAGGTCGCGAGTTTGCTCGATTGTGGTTTTCCCTTGTCAGTGATGCAGGTCGGGGGGGCCTGACAAGGAAAACTGTCTAGTCATTCGGATGGAACAAAAAAAGAGGTCCCTTGTACACATTAGGTGCACGTAAAAGATCCCTTAGCAGTTTGATTTCAATATAAGTGTAGGCAGTAGTGCGGCTGTCCGGGCAAAATTTCCCTCATAGCACACTGTATGGCATATGTCTGTTCATTAGCCCAGTCGGAGCAGAACAATAGGACGTTATAAACCCCATTTCATTTCATTTCTTTCCCCGGTAATTTATAAAAATTGTTTTCTTTTCAGAGTTGGACCGGGGGTATGATGATGATAGGTCTATTTTTCTCAGGAATTAGCTTCCTTTTATTAGGACCAGCGCCATTTCTACCATTTCTACCGTTTAAGCTATGGCTAACGATTGTTATGTTGTGTTTCGTTGGACTGTTTATTGGCTGTTGTCTTATTCCTACTTTTACGGGTATCTTGATAGGCGCGAAGTAAGTATAGGCCTACCCTTTTAGTATAGTTCAATGTAATATTTTGAAAATTTTTACATCTTGTGACCTATGACAAAAAATTGAGCTGGCCTTATCATTTAGCACTAATCGAGTAAAAACCAAAGAACGTGACTCCATAAATTTTATCTACAATATAAATTCTAGACAGTTACAGTCTACAGTCATCAAGCTTTGAAAGACGGGATAAATCTGGCCAGTACCAACAAAATTTGGCCAAATCAGACAACTTCATGACCTTTCTGAATTCTTCTTCTCAAAAACATCACAACCAACATCATTCTGGTTAAAACACAGCTCCTATTTCGTTTCGTTTTTTATAGTTTAAAATTTTGTTTTACTTGTGTTTACTACACTAGGATGTGGAAGAGTTGTTATATAACCTGCGTTCTGGATGATGTGAGGCATTAGCCAATGAAACGGTCTGTTGCGGCGAGTTTTTGGCTGAGGTGCACAGAACTGTGGATAACCCACTAGAAACATCAACACTGATTGGTTAATCAAATGTCTGATGTCATAGGGTCAAAAGCCACTTGTATGACCTCCGACTCGACCTTCGACTACAACTGGTCAGATCTTCATGTAGTGTAAGCCATCGAAAGTATAAAGAGACGAAACGAAATATAGATCTGTATTTCAATCAGATTGAACAAATTTTTACCAACAGGCTAGGTAATTTAATAAGGAACAGCATCTAAGAAATAACTTATCAGAGACCTGCCCTTCAGTATGTCCTGCTGCCAGCCTGTGGTCCACTACCGCCTTTTTTCTTTAATATACAATTTTCAGGACTATACATGTACCTTTAGCTTTGTTTCTTAGTAACCCTAACTTTATAATCTTTAATACATTAATGTCTACTGGATTCAGGGAGAGAGAGAGAGAAATGGGGTTTAACGTCCACTCGACACAAACTAGGTCATTTCGGGACTAACATATGATTTAATTTTATTTACATAATTCGCTTGCATGTAGGGGTCTTTAGCAGTGCGAGGGAACCGGATTCAGGACAATAGATAAAAATTTATGAAACAATGTCTCTCTAATATAATTACAGAGTTGACTTTGATTAGGCTTCAGGATAATCTGTAATGTTTACCTGGTCATATTATGGTTATATTTCAGACAGTTAGGTTTAGATGAATTTTTAGATACATTTGGTATGGTATCTGGTCTATTTAATATTATGTTTATATTTCAGACAGTTAGGTTTAGATGAATCATTAGATACATTTGGTATGGTATCTGGTTTATTTAATTCAGCATTCTCTTTAGGGTAAGTTGATCAAGTGAACATCTTTTTAGAATAAAGAGATCATGCAACGCATTTCAGGACTAACATATGGTTCAAATATGCTTGCATTTAGGGGTGTTTAGCTGTGGGAGGGATCTGGAGAAAACCCACGAGGTTGGACAGATGTTCCTACTCCTTGACATTTACAAGCAGGGAATCGACTCAATGACAAACCTTATGATACCACGCCCACACGCTAACCATTCAGCCACCCAACCATCCTTAACCATTCAGCCATCTACCCCCCTCAGTGAAATGTAATAACAAGGATATAAATCAAAAGTCAGTAACATCGTTTGACTAGAATTAGTCTCTCAGGCTGGTACCCAAGGTGTGCAACAAACAGTCTCAGCTTTGATGGACCCCCATGTTCCTAAAGCACCGACCGCTAGTTATACAACATCTATCCATTTCTAGATTGGTCTGATGTTCTCGAACTTATAGGAACGTTATCCCCCTTTACTGCAGACACGTGAACAATAGCGTTGTCTATTCTGAGGTCATAATACAAACACACTCAAACCGAACATGGCGACCTCCACAGAAATCTTGACATTGAACGAACCTTAAACTTTGCACTCGATTATCACAGGTATAAATTTTATCTGGAAAGCGCAAGATATTTTCTATCAAGGAACCTGACAGGCTTCCCGGCTGGGTCAGTAGCCAATAGAAATTTGTGCCGAAATATGCAGGGTATTACGTGAAGGGCTTGATAAGGTGTACAGAGTTAAAGTGAGATCAAGCCTTCTATTAAAGATGATTGACCCCTCAGAGTAGCAGCAGTAGTATGAAGACGGCCGCATTTCAATATTGAACAAAAATATTTCATGTAACGACTACAGAAAAGATGACATTCTACTTTATTGATCAAATATTTTATTTATTTCATTACAGCAAGCCAGATTTTGATTTTATAAAATGAAACTGTTTTATGCATATTAACATATAGCCATATTAATAATAACTTTTTTATTATTTCAGAGCTTTTGCTGGACCTTCTATAGGGGGTTTATTACAAGATAATTTTGGGTTTGGTTGGGCTGCTAGTTCCTGTGGCTTTTTATATCTAGCTAGTGTAAGTTTTATTTTATACGCCCACAATTATATCCTCCACCGGTCAGGCATTTGGTCATAAGGAAGATTCTTCTAGACATCTAAATGTTTTGATGGCAAATTGTGGAATTATCCTTGTAAGATGATGTACCTAATCTTATTTGTCTGACTCCTGGTCGCTCAGTCCGAGTCAGACTCCAGGCCTACTCTATAATAGTAGTCTGACACAGTTGTCTGACTCCAGGCCTACTCTGTACTAATCTGATTCCAGGCCTACTCGATCTGTACTAATCTGACTCCAGTTGGCTGACTCCAGGCCTACGCTGTACTAGAGTTACTTTCCATTACATGGAATAAACATGGCTCCTTAATACAAATCTTTGTTTTTATTGCTCAGCCTAAATCATGAACCATCTAGCCCACAAAAGTTGAATTACTCTCAGTTTACATTTAAACTTACAACACAAGACTCATGTCTCTAAGAAAAGTTTTAAGATACCATTATTAGCCAGTCTGATTAAAACACAGATCCTATTTCGTTTCGTTTTTTATAGTTCAAAATTTCGTTTTACTTGTCTTTACTACACTAGGATCTTGAAGAGTTGTTATATAACCCGTGTTTTGGATGATGTGAGGGATTAGCCAATGAAAAAGTCTGTTGTGGCGAGTTTTTGGCGTGAGGTGCATGGAACTGTGGGTAACCAAATGTCATCATAGGGTCAAAAGCCGCTCGTATGACCTCTGATGCAACCTTCCACTACAAGCGACCCCAGATCCTCATGTAGTAGAGGCCATTGAAAGTATAAAAAAACGAAACGGAATATAGATCTGTACTTTAATCAGATTGAATTCTGACAGATGTATTTTGCATTTTTTGGGCCTGGACAATAAAGCTGCAGATGGGGACGCTACTAAGCGATTTTCCAAATCGGACATCAAGATATGGTGAATAATATTGAATATTCCAAAAATAAATTAGCAGCACATGTTGTAAAAATTAATTTTGATTTTTATCTTTCAGTCACTGGTTGTGATATTGCTGTGGGTGGGTCGGTTTAGTTGACTGGCAGCCCATATTTTATCAAATAATTTTGATTTCTATCTTTCAGTCACTGGTGGTGATATTGTTTCGATTTACAAGTAAACAAGGCTTTAACAAACCACCAACAGAATGAACCTTATAAAAAAAATAAGGTTTTAACTTATCATATACTCTTACACAGGTTATATCTCCCATAGAATCCACTGATATCTTTCAGTCACTTGTTGTGATATTGTTTCGATTTACAAGTAACCAAGGTTTTAACCCCTTAACTGCGTAGGACGTTATATAACGTCCTGGACAACTGCCACTCACAGTGTGTAGGACGTAATATAACGCCCTGGAGGTATTTTCCCCAACCTATTCTTCGAACACAATCTTACCATGCGTTAGACGTAATAATACGCCTGGTCGAGGAAATCTAATTGAAGGGAGACAACTCTATTTACTGTTAGTTTTATTATGGTTTAAGACCACTCAAATTTGTATTCGTCAAATTAATTACGCAATAGGGGGTTGTTAACGTCAAATTAATTACACAGTTAAGGGGTTAATAAACCACCTATATAATGAAAATCTTATAAAAAATAACTCATCATATACTCTAAAGCTGAGCTTAGGTCGACTTTGCAACTCAAAGCAACTAGTTGCAGCCAGTAGCAAGTGAGCTTATGTCATCATATCAGCAACTGAGAGCAACTGAATTCGGAGCAAGCGCTTATGTTGACTCGGAACTGATGGCGATTTCACTTAACACAAGACTGTAATCAACAAAATGGCGAATAACTTAGAAGAAGCAACCCAAAGGCAGGGTCGGTCTTTCCACAATTCTATTAATATATTTTTGTCGACACCATCAACATTTGAAAAGTGGGTTTCTTCGTTCGCTTCCATTTGCATATTTATAAAGTCACATGTCACATGTCTCTTATCATGAGATGTTATTTCCATGGAAACGACTTGACACCAGTTGTAAGACCGCTCATGTCGACTACAGCCGACAGTTGCAACGAGTTCCAGAAAGTTGAACATGTGTCTTTGACTGGAACTAGTTGCTTTGGGTTGTAAGAGGTGCTCAGGTCGACCTTTTTCAGTTGCATTCTGTTGCTTTCATCAGTTACTCCCAGTTGCCGAAACGTCAGTAGGTTTCAGTTGCAAGATCAACACAAGCCCCTCTTTACACTTCCCCAGGTTATATCTCTCATAGCAACCACTGATATTTTAGGGTGGCTATTAAAGTCATTAGGGGTTGTTATTGAGCTAATATTATACACATGATTTATAGTGTACAAGGTAATATTAGATGAACTGGAACTATTACTCCTCACAAGTTCACTAATACGTGGCGATAATCTTTAAAGTTTGTGGGGGGGGGGGGGTGTAGTGGGTTTTCTTTGGGTCCTCTGGTTTCCTCCCACTACTAGAGACCCCTACGCGCAAGCGAATTATTAAAATACAAATTGAAACATATGTTAGTCCCAAAATGACCTAGTTTGTGTTGAGTGGACATTAAGAATCTCTATCTATCTATGATCTGTGTCAATATTTGAGTCACTTATCACCTTGAAAGAGAATAACAATTTGGAAAGTGGTTGCTATCTACTGCATAATGAACCAAGTTTTAACACACCATGCATCTATTCAAGATAAACAACGTTTTACTTTTAACATACCATCTACTTATGATAAACAGTGTTTTAGCACACCATCTACTCATGATAAACAATGTTTTAGCACACCATGCATCTATTCAAGATAAACAAGGTTTTACTTTAAACACACCATCTACTCATGATAAACAATTTTTAGCACACAATCTACTCCTGATAAACAATGCTTTAGCACACCATCTACTCATGATAAACAATGTTTTAGCACACCATCTACTCATGATAAACAATGTTTTAGCACACCATCTACTCATGATAAACAATGTTTTAGCACACCATCTACTCATGATAAACAGTGTTTTAGCACACCATCTACTCATGATAAACAGTGTTTTAGCACACTATCTACTCATAATAAACATTGTTTTAGCACACCATTTACTCATGGTAAACATTGTTTACACCATCTACTCATGATAAACATTGTTTACACCATCTATTCATGATAAACATTGTTTTATCACACCATCTACTCATGATAAACAATGTTTAAGCACACTATCTACTCATGATAAACAATGTTCTAGCACACCATCTACTCATGATAAACATTGTTTTAGCACACGATCAATTTTCATAGTGCTACATACATATATATTATTTGATAAAAAAGATTTTAACACAGCATCTACTTAAGATGATCATGGTTTCAGCTTTAGCCCCTTATCTAGCTGGGGGTTGGATGGCCGAATAGTCTAAGGCGTGCACTGTAGATAATAATGAATGTCGGGTAGCATGGGTTTGATTCCCCACTTGTATGTGACAAGGCGTAGGATCACCGGTCCAACCTTGTGGGTTTCTACCGGTCCTCTGACTTCCCCCACTGGTAAAGACTAAGTATGCAAAGCGAATTATTGAAATAAAGATGAACCATGTGATAAACCTCTCTCTCTCGAAACCACGTCACTTGACTCAATGGCAGACCTTATGATCTAGAGCGCACACATTAGACCATTCACTCCACCCCGGGGATCAGCATAATTCTAATCAACTTCATTTTTAACTGATTTCAAACTTGCATGTGCTAATTGTGTGATTGCGAAATTCAATTTTGTTATTATATTATGATAGTTGTTACAGTATACATAAGTAATTATTTTTTATCTACATTTTTTTTACTTACATCTATTGAGAATTTATAAATCATTTTGTAAAAT